TTTTATTTTTTTTTTATATATCCCCTAGCCGCGCAGTTGCGAGGCAGCAGTGTTCCTGCCTCAGGCTGGGGTAATGACAGGGACCTTGGTACCTCGCAGCCTCGCCAGCACGGCCCGGCGCAGGGCGTTGCTGCAGACGGCAGAGCTTCCCGAACCGAGGTGAAACAGGGTGCAAAGTGGGCCCTTCTGCATTAATAGTTGTATCTCCCTAAGCATATTTGCTCTCAGACCCGAACAGAGGTTCCTGGCAACAAAGAAATGGTACTCGCTTTGGCCTCCCGTGTTTGCAGGTGCATGGTTTGAATTTGGGGAACTGTGGCACCAGCTGTCGCTGAACTTCATGTTTATTGCAGTTACAGACTAATTGGGTAGAAGAATAAATCTTGAGTACAGTGGTTCTGTGAATAAACATAGTAAAAGAGCTAGGTTAGACAGAGAGTTTGGAGGCGGAGGAGGTGTCTACAGAAGACTTAAAACTGGTGTGTGGTGTTGTGTACTCTGTTGAAGTGGATGGATAAACACAGTACTGAAATGACAGAGGCCAAAAAGTTACCTGCCATGATTGTGGCAGTGCTGGGGTACTGCTGACATTTTTCCAAAATCTTAAATGCAAGCAAGAGAGAAGGGAAAAATCAAAACTTTTGGCGGGAACAGGAAAAGAGGGAAGACCTATTAATGGAAGGAAACAAAAAAGTCCTCTTGTTTAGAGAAATTGGACACTGACATTAAAAGCAATATCAGTTTTTCTTTTGGTCTGTAGAGATTACGTTAAATTCAAGAAGAATATCAGGGGCTCCCATGTTTCAAGATCAGATTTACCGATGAAGATTTACACACATGACATTCTTACCATTTTGAGTTAATTATCATTGTGGTGATATAGACTTAATTTGACATTTAATAAGGATGTCATTAATATATGTGTCTCACATATATAAATATCTGAGAGTGCTGTGGTTTTAAATCCATTTAAACAGATTAACTCAGTATTTCAGTCAGCGTAAATGCATCAATGCAGACACTAAAATTTCACTTACCATAAAACGTGAATTTCATGTTTCTTCTGCAGTGTATGCAAAACCAATTTTTCCTGTATTTTGTGATTGTTATAAATGTTTAATATTCTTTCTGGATTCTGACATAACTCTTGTACTAAAAATACTGCACATTCTATCTACTAAGACTTAAGATTACGTCTTCAGCAGAAGTAATATGCACAACTTGGTGGTTGTTGTGGGTTGCCAAAGCCAATTTATTTTCCTACCTTAGATAAGTTTTTCATATAGAAATCAAATGTAAAGGCAGTAACTTTTGCTAATACATAACACGGTAAATATATGTGAGTGGTAGAAACAGGAATTGGTGCTTTTGCATGGCCTAAATTGCCTTGGTTTTCAGGGCTTGACTAATACAGTTGTACTTTCTTTGAACCTCATTGTGCGGAGGTTAAGATATAGCCTTGATCAGTGGGCTGAAGTGCATGGCTCCTTTACAGTCCCTCCTGAATTGTTCAAAGAGGCAAGGCAATAACTAGAATGTGTAAGGAAGTTGCAATGTGCTTGCCTTAAGTCATCTTCCTGCCTGTAAAATGGGGAAAATTGAGTGCCTTGCATCGTGGATAGGTCAGAAGAATAAATTGCTTCATGTTTCTGAAGAACTCAGGTACTACTTTCGTGGCGATCATTACTGCTAAAAGGACTCATGCTTGCATTGGGTTGCTTGTACATTCAGAACTTTGGTAGTTCTAAAATACGTTATGTGTGTTTGTGACTGGAAAGAAAATTCTAGTTTGAGTTCAGCTTTCGGTGAATACAGTGCAATTAGTCTGTCAATATTCTATGTCTTCATAATGTTGAATTGCTATGGTCTTAATTTTAGACAGGGTTCTCCTCTTCATGGCTATGGCTAGGTTTTCATTCTTTTGCACGTGTAAGAATTTTTCTAGAATGACGTGCATCCTCTATGTTTTACCTGTAAGCATGTCCTGTGAGTTTCATGAGGCTGTGGAGTCAGAGCATTTTAGAACCAATACTTATTTTTATTAACTGTAGAGCTTTTACATTATTGAAGTATTAGTCAGATTTGCCCTTTAAAGGCAAAAATAGGTAGTAGTTCTGGGAGCCTTTTTAGTCAAAATAAAAGACTTGCTTGCTAACATAATCAATTATGAACTTTAAAAGCAGTTGGTTACTGAGTTATATTAAAGTCTATAACATACTGAGTAATGTCTTGATGGAGCTATGACCGTATCTGGTATTTAAGGGAGAGTTACTAAGAAGTAGGAAAGGAGACTTACAAGCAGAGAAGTTCATTGGAGATAGATACTCGCTAAAATCAACAGTGACACATAATTGTACGAAAAACTGCTTTAAACTTTTCTTGTAATTGAAATGCAGCCTATGAAATTGGGAAGCTTATAGACTTCTTTAATTAGAGCACTTTATATAAAGTGAAATGACATGAATATGGTTTATTGTGACCTTTGCTGTGAATCATGACCTTTTGCTATCGTGACCTTTGCTGTAAAAAGACATGAAAAAACTGCTACAGGTTTTCTGCTGTAATCCCCAAATCAGTCCTTACTCTTTCTTTTTCTTTTTTTTTTTTAATACACAGAATGTCAGTGGCCGCTTACTGTGTATTTTGCTATAGAAAAATAGGAACTTCTGGTCCAGCCACAAAAACACACCTACCTTGGAATGGTATCAGTAAGTACAGTTCTATGCCTATTCACCTGAAGTGTTAATGAAAAGGAAAAATCTGTGTTGGTATGACGCCGTGCATAATTAAATGATACTCAAGATCTAAATCCCTGAATACTTTGTGGTCAAAAGCTTTTATTTGCCTTAAGTGGATGTCTGCTTCTGACCTTGCTTTGCATAGCAGTATGTAAAATGACACCAGCAGATTATCTGGGTTTATAACGTGAGATGAGGGTCCCTCCCTAAATGCAATCTCATCAAACTATCTTAAACTCCATGTTGTATCTGATTTATATTTTTTTTTGTAACCTCTAGAGCGATGAAGCAATTATATCCATAAACCATGAATAAAGTTTGAATAAAATTTGTTTCTATTGTTTCTTCCTCCTTATTTACTGATATTAGCTCTGCAGTCTTTCCTGCTTAGTCTCTGCTTTCTTTGGTGCCTTCTGTATAGAATGACAATTCTTAGGATTCTAAAGTTTATTTTTGAGCATTAAAAGATAGGATATTTCTGTTTCTGCTCTACAGGAAGCATTGCAATTTTTTTGCCTTTTCAACCTTCTCTGCCAGTTATTTCTTCAACATGTAGCTGCCTCTTGTCTGCATGCAAAATTCTTATGGTCTCGCAAAGACAGAACCTGGTGGCAGTGGTTGTGGGGCAAATCTCCCAATTCATGCTGAGGAAAAGAAATTATTCATGATAGGTGAGATGTGTTCCATTGGGTTTGCTGCTACTGGTAATAATAGAGTTTCTCTGTATTGAGATCCTTACATCCAGATAATCAGCTCAAATTTGTCCAGGCAAAATAGCTCAAATCTGACAGGAATTGTTAGCCTTAAAAGGGAAATTGTTGCAAGTGGCATGTGTTTATTCAGCTGTTTCCTTTATAAATTAGATCCAATGGAAAAAATTTAAAAAATATTTTCCTAGGGAGACTTTGCAGGACTTCAAAGAACATACGTACTTCTGTATGTGTTCAATAACACTGAAGAAATATCCACGCCATGTGAGAAAAAGTTAACTCCTTAAAATAATCTAGAGTTCCAAATGAATGCTAATGATACAGGCAGAGAAAGTTTACTATTGATTCCTGCAGCTGAGCAATGAATGTAATTTATAGGTAGCAGTACTTAAAATAAATAGCACTGGCAGGATACATGTTTTATCATCTTGCTTAGGAGAGCAGAAAATTCTAATCAAGTAATGTTTTCTCCATTTGTAAATTTAGGTAACGATTTTCTGAAAGCCAGAGAGCAGTACAAAAATTTTTAAAAACTTACTCTTAATGGCTGACATTCTTACTGTCTGGTAATCAAATGCTGACCATGCTTGTATTGAGGTGATGCACACAACTTTGTTTGACATGAGTTTTTCATTTTTTCAAGGAAAAATTGCAAAGATAACTGGATCGCTTATACTAGGGTAAGTTGTAACTGACAAGCGTATATGTAACTTATGTATACAGTTAAAGTTTTAATTCATGTATCAAGAAATATGACAATATTGGGGACCTTTAGACATGGTAAATATAGTTTTGAAGCGTGTTTTCTGATAGTTGTTACTTATTTTAAGTATTTCAGAGTCTATTGTCTACTTTGCTAAATTAAAATGATCTGCAGACTATTATATATTTGGTAAAATCTGGATGATTTATACCAAAATGATTGTTAACGTATTTTTGCCATCATATTTTTTAAATTTATATTCATATGCAGTTTTCTTTTATTTACAGTGGTTTTATATTCATTACATATGAAGTCCTGTCTTTAAAGAAATTACTGCGAATCGATACTCAAGCTATACATCAAGAAAAACTTAAATCCTATGTGTACGTGCGTACAGCTTCTCTAAATCCAAGTGAATATCAAGGTAAGATGCATAATTGTTTGGATTCTAAAACCAGAATTTTAAGAGAACAGAATGTTTCTGGAAGTCACCCTTATATAAGGAAAGTTTTATTTCCAGAGATCTGTTACAAAATAATATTTTTCAGAACATCACTAAATTTATTTTAAGATGCTGGCTGTTTTTTTTTTTAAGATAGTTCTATACATACACTTCTCTATATACCAGATAATTCTCTCTACATATGTGTATGTGTGTGCATATATCTTTTTTTATATACATGTGAAAAATAATGTCAGAGAACTGTCTTTCAGACTTCCAGTAATCTAAAAATACTCTTGTAGGGATCACATATCAAGCCAGAAAAGAAATCCATAAAGCAGTGAGGAAAATTCTAGAAACGGAAGCTAAAATTTTCCGGAGACCTTTTAATGGTATGTATTGAAAGCATGGCTTTATCTGTGATTATTGTTTTTAAATATGAAAACGTAAACCTTTTAGAAAGTAACATAATTTTTCTTACAAATGTAACATGTTCTTTTGTGTTTGAAACAGTGGTAATATTACTTACAATTTTCTATATTAATATAGAATATTAGTATATTTTCTATGTACTAAACCCATTCCTTTTCTTAAAGTAAATGAAAGCAATGGTTACGAAGAGATTTGAGAATTATTTTTTTTCCTGTTTCAGAAGAGATTTGAAGCTTAAGATACCAGGTTAATGTTTGATACGAGTTTTTTGTACGAAAGGTGTTTGGAGGATAAAATACTCTCAAAATTTCATTTTGGAAAAGTATGTTATGCGTTCAGAATTGCCAGTATTAACTGAAAGCAGCGTAGTATTTTTGCAACAGTGTGTCACTGCTTTTTAGGGTAATTTAAAATAAGAATTTCAATTTCAGTCCTGAGGCATACTATCTGTTCTCATTTAGCAATTATAATGATATGTACCTCCACTGTCATGCTATGAAATTAATTGTTCAAGGTCAAAGCCTCAAGAGTTGCTAATCAATTCCAGCTCCTGCTGGAAGCTGGCAATTCTGGTTGGTAAGTGCCAGCGAGGGGTTGTGTATGTAACATATATATGAAATACCAACTTAGTGCCACTACAATGAATCAAAACCATCCTATTAATTTAACGATCAGCATTTTACCAATGTCATTCTGTCATTTATTGTACTAATTTAATATTAAAACATTACACTCTTAACAACTAATGTTTGAATATTAAAAGAAACAGATTTTTTTACTCAACAAATAGAAATGTGACTGTTAAAATGCTCATTAATAATAACTTGGGTTTTACTTGTTTCCTGGTAAAAGAACAATTCGGTACATTTGATGGAGAAGATCATGAATGTGCTTTATGGCTTCTCTTAAAGAGAAGTCAGTCAGAAGACAAAGAGGTCAGACTGCAGGCTGTACAGGACCTGGCAAACAACGGTCACTGGCATGGTAATGTATACTGATGTAGCCTAATTCATCCCAGAAATGCGACAAAGTCTCAGTTAGCTCTTCCAAGTCTACTGCGAATGTGAAACAAAGCTGGTAGCTGCCAGAAGTATAAATACTCTGAAATTTGGTCTAAAATGTGGGGAGTTTGTTTACATTTCAAGTAATTTTTCTTTCCTAATACCCTGATACAGAGCGTGTGCCTGCAGTGCAGGTGTCTCTGTTTCCCCACGAGAGAACTGCAACCACTGCTGTGGTGTGGAAGAGCAGTTCATGTTCATTAGTTCCTTGGTTTTGCTGTTGAGACTGCTAACATGGTCACAAATTCTGGCAGTGATTTTTATAAGGCTCTGCAGGAGTGAGTTTAAGGCCATGGTTAAGTTAAAAATCGGTTAGGAGCTGATAGGTAATAATACCAAGGTAGTAACGACAAACTAGAGGTAGAGGACTTGTATGTACAAGCATTATTTGTAAGCTATTTTCCATCCTGGTTATTATTTAGTAGTAATAAGTTCTCCCTGTTGCTCTAGCAGCAAATATCCTTGAAACCCCAAATAAAGGGGGGGGGGGGGTGTATATGTGCGTCCTCCTGCCCCCTCCATCACTAGTCCACATGAACTAGGTGACACTCTAATCTCAGCTCTCATTATCAGGTAATCCAGTTGGTTGAGGACTTTTTCACTCTTGCAGTGTAATACCATACCATGGGATTTATCTTGTTTCAGATTACCTCTTTAAAATTCTAATTAATTTCCCCAAGGAGTTTACATCAAAAAGCTGTGTTTGAAAATATGTGAAAGCTAGGATGTACCAAAACCGAAGCTTTGTGTACTAATTTAATATAACTGTCTCGTGTTTGTAGGAGAACACTGTCCGTTAGCATATGATCTCAGGATCTTGGTGCACAAGATGGCCAGTACTTGGGAATCCAGCTGCCTTTTCTCTGTAGTGCTCATTGTTGTAGTATTTGGATATTTCAGAAATACTTATTCTTGCCAACTACCTCGTGAGGGAAACAGGCCTTTTTTTCACCTGATATTCCAAAACCAAGTCCAAGAAAGGTTAAGACTGAAAGTGTGTGCTAACTTTTCACAGCTAGGACCAAATTGTTCAGCGTACGTGTTATCGTAAATACAGTATTTTGCTTGTCCAAAGCACGACTTCAGTGACTTCCGTTTGCAGCTCTAAGTGATCTACACCAAAGAAAAAAAATATGGCCAAGCTGCAACTGTTTGTGCAAAGTGTATTTTAAATGGCTTGTCAGTTTTGTTCTAGAATTGTGTAACAGTAACAGGGATAGAAACAAATTTTTATAGAAAAAAGTATTGATCCCCACTTTAAGGTTATATTTTCATTTCGAAGGAAAAAGTTTGCCGCTTCATTGCAGTATGTAATTTTCAGGAAACAAATTTTTATAGAAAAAAGTATTGAGCCCCACTTTAAGGTTATATTTTTTTTTCCTTCGGTTTGCCACCCTAATTGCAGTACGTAATTTTCAATTTCTCCAGCTATAAAGTAGGTAGGTTTTGGAAAGGAACAGTAGTTACTGTTTAAATCTGGTTTCCCTTCAGTAGGGTAAGGGAAAGTCTGTCTTGTATTTTCAGTAAGGAAGGGCTACTTGAAACTGTACTGTGGTGCTATGCTGCCTTTTCTAAGGTCACCTGATTTTGTGACATTAACAATTTTATTGAAACGTGCCTTTTGTGTGATTTAAAATTGGGTGTCTGTGTCTCTGCAGCATTTGGATTTAAGGCTCTGGTTTTTAATACTGTATGTAGAAAAAAGTATGCAAGATGCCTTTCAAATTTTAACTCAAGCCCAGGGAATTAAGCTTGGGTTTGTAGTCCTTGTTCAGTATTGCCACTGTGAAAGGAATACGTTTGCTTTTGCTTGTGTTCAACTTCTATCTGAGGACCTTTATCAAACTGGTCTATAATGAACAATTAGTGTCCATTGTATGTTGGCTCAGTATAGTGCTGGTCTAACGTCTGCAATTTTTATCTTTTGGAATTTGTGGTTACAAAATCAGAGCTTATTTAAGCGGCTTGCAGACAGGTGATTCTTTTTTCAAGTATATTTTCAAAGTAGGTCAGAAACTACATTTAAAACCAAATGAAATATTTAAAGTTAGTTTTAACTCTAACACTGAAGTTCTTGTACTACAGATTATCAGTATGGTACAGTTGCCCAAACCTGCGATCAAAGGACTGCTATAGGTTTGGCTCGATCCAAAGATATCGACCTTCGCTTTTTCCTGCCTCCACCACCATTGCCAAAAATAAAGAATGTAAGTAAATCAAAAGTGGGTATTAGATTATTTTTGCTTGCTTGTTTATTTTTAGTGCTTTTGTTGTTGGTAACCATACTAGAGCGGAGTTCTTCTAAAGTAACTAATGAGTAGTAAAACTAAGACCAAAATACAAAACTGTAATATAGTGATGTACCCCTGGGGTATATCTGCATTAGTGAATAGCATAATAGAAAGCAATAAGGATGGGAACATTGATCAATTATTGTTCTTGGACTGTATATCCACGGTACATATTTACCAGCAGTGAAATCTGAGCCAGTTACCAGTCAGATACACACACTGCCTGTCTGTACCTAATGGGCAGTGTGAAGCAATCTTATATTAAGACTAATCCTAGATCTATTATATCTAATCCTAGATTGCCTTGTTGGTGCTGACAGAATCCTACACGTAGGGAGCACTCCTAGAGGCCTTTGTATACTCAGTGCTACTGCGGTGCTCTACTGTAGGCCCACCTCTTTATTGCCAGCTTTTGGGTACCAGCAAATCCATATTGGATAGATTTGGCCTTGGTTTGTTTTTATGTTAATTAATAAGTATATATATATGATGGTTTGAGCAATCATGTCATCATATCAACTTCTTCAATAAACAGAATTGGCACACAAAGCATAATATAAGAGGTCTTTTGTAATGCTAATAGAATGAATGCTGGCAGAAGTCCCTGTCAGAGGATACTGGTATACCTTAACCCACAAAATTCTGAAAACCAGCTTTGATCGGTAGTCATATTGTCAGGTTTTGCTTTCTTATCTTTGTAACATTATGTGATAGTGGTTCTGTACCTGTCAGTCCTCAGGTACTAAGTTATACTAGTATATGGTTGTGTATATACTTTATTTTTACAGCAGTATGATTGCTAGGTGATTGAAGCTAAGAGTTCCTAATCTGCTGGTTAGGAAACTGAAGCAAATCATTGTGGCAGCAGGTGTTGCTCTGCACATCATATATGTCTCCATCTCTGGTTGTAGCAAGATTAGAATAAGTGCAAGTTCCATGACTGTGGGCAAATAAAATTACATTGTTGCATCTGTTTTCCTGTCATCTACCCTGGATTATTAAATGAACATCTATATGAATATTTTGAAGATAAACGACTAAAAGAAATGTTGTCTGTATTTTTTACCAGTAATTTATACTTTCATTTTAATGGAGCAGCACCAAAATTACTGTGTAGTTATGGGTGAACTTTTAGGCTTCCTGTGCCGAGAGGAACTGTTTTTCCTTCTGCCCTTTGGACCTATTAGAATAATGCCACCAAAGTACAAAGTTTAAAGCTTGCTTTTCATCACTCAATGGTTTTAGACTTATCAGTTTCCAAAGTCTTCACAGGTGTAACTGTTAAACTGAAGTTGCAGAGCACTCAAGTCCAGGGTTCGTATTTTATGGCCTTATTAATATGGCTGATTTCACTATTTCAGATCTTTCTTTTCTCTGTGCCTTGCTTCATGCTTTGAACAGAACTAAAAGTTACTTGCGCTTACTTTTCACAGGATTATCCCATAGAAGATGAACTTCGCTTGTTGTTAGTATCTTTACCTCAGACTGGTCTTGATCCGTGTGTCCAGTACTTCACATCTCTTGCTTTACGTGAAAGTAGTCAGACTCTTGCTGCGCAAAGGGTGAGTTCCCACGTGCAGAATAGAACTGTTTGGGTTCTTTGTTCCTGCAGAGCTCAGAGATACAAACCTATTTCCATATTTTTGAGCGTTATAAGAAGAGAAATACAGAGACTTCATGACTGTACAACATAAGTAAGGTCTCTTCTACATACAGTCTATCTGCTTGAAAACTTGTTTATATTTCCCAGCTGTACTAGTTGGTCTAGTGAGAGACTGTATCTTTATTACAAACCTTCCCATAAAGCAGATATTTCAACATTTTGTCCAGAATATTTCCTTCCCCTTGCAGTGGTCATAAAATGATTTTTCACATTTCATTTTACCATTGTTTGAGTGTTCTTTTACTGCTGAGATGATTACACCTCTGTTAAGTCTTGTTAGCATACTGGCAAGTTTTAGCACACCTTAAATAACTCTGTTATATCACATGGAAAGGCCTCCTTGTAACAGCTCACTGTTGCCAAAACCAGAATTGGAATAGTCTCGTGGTCTGTTTGGACTTGGAAACTAGGAATTTTTCAACTCTGTCCAACAGCTTCCTAAGTGGCTTTAGGAAGCTTTAAAATGCTGTTACTGCTTAAAAGTAGTAATTGTAGTACCAGTGTCATCCACCATCTCTTATGCATTTTTTTAAAATTAAAAAATTGTGACTTTTAAAAATGATTATTTTTTTTTTGTAAGGTGCAATAATAAAAATTACTGTCATATTTTAATAATGATGCCTGTCAGGCTCTGTTTAGAGATTTCAGAGTATAATAACTCTTTATTTCCTATGATGCAGTTATGTGTAATATTTTTACACTATCACTCCTTTATTGTTTTCACAGCCAGAGCTCTTGCTACAAAGGGAGCTTTGGTAAGGCAGCATGCTTGGAAACATTTTGATAATCATGCTGTTCTAGAAAACTGGTTTTTATTGAGGTTATGCTGGTCTTCCCACTGCACGATTAAGGAGAGTCAGGTCTTCAGAGACTATGCTGTATGGTGAAGACCTTTTTTCTTCCTCATTTTTGCAACTATGGGAGACTAGATGCAGTCTGCTTCTTGCTTTTTCAAGCTTAAGATTAACGATGTTAAAAGACATGCATTAACAAAATGAGAATCCTACATTTTCCCCCTTTATTGTATGTTTTGAAGTTAATAGACTATGGAGACTGTTGGCTGAAAATCTAGTTAATATTTTCAGTTAAAAATAGTAGATATTTTTATGGTGTACTGTTGCATAATCTGTACATTTTGAAAAGTGCATGCATGCTGTGCACCCTTCATAGCAATTTCTATAGGTCATTACACACTTAACATTTTAGTTTAGAAATGCTTATTTTATGTAGCCATTTGGAATGTCGTATAATTTTTACTGATTCTCATTTCAGGGAGGCTTATGGTGTTTTGGAGGAAATGGCCTTCCATATTGTGAGACATTGAGTAAAATCCCTTCAGAGACAGTGGAACTCTTTTGCTTGCAAGCTTTAGTACAGCATTCTAAGGTAATTTGTCCTTTAAACTATAACTGAAAAGCTACATTTATAAACGTTCCTTTCTAATGCTCTCTCATATATCAGGAAGGAGTTGCCATTTCCTTGTCTCTCACCCCTTCTGTAAGGATGCTCAGACAACTGAGACTGGTGTGAATTGGAAGGCAGCATAATCAACTCTTTTTTTTTTTTCCTCTCATGGGAAGTGTAAGTTCTGTTACTGTTTCTAATTAGCCTGTATGAGTTCCCCTGTGGCATACCTGTATGTATCTTTCAAGAAATAAAAGGGCAGCTCTGACACAGAAAAGCAGGAGAGAATACCTGAAGTCCAGATGGCTTTAACAAGTCTTTTCTGCGTAGGGCTACCTCCCACTGACACTCAAAGTCATTGGAGATAGATATCATGAGGAAACACTTAGTGTTTCCGCTCTGCCACTTCTCAGTAAGTGAGATACTGATGATGTGAAATTCTCAGTGCGAAGTATGTATGGATTTGAGTGAGTTGGTGTACATTAATTCAGAAAGTTTACAAGCTGTCTCTTCTTATGGCTCTTAATCTAACTGTAGTGCCAGATTTCCAGAAAGCAAAGTAGCCTCATGAATTCACTCTAATCAGAAACCAGAATGGAATGCAAACCTCAGCTATTCAAAGGCCCCTCCTTCAAGGGTCACTGCCTTTGGGCAGAGTATCGCACAGCATGCAGCTAAAACAGTGCATCGTCCTTGGACCAGTCTGGTCTTTGGAGAGACCGATGAAGACTATGGAAGACTTTGTGTAACAGTGATTCGTCTTGTTTCCTATTGCTGAACTTTTCTGTGTGCACTTATTTGCTCAGAAGCCTAGAACACTGAGAATCAGTGTTGAGAATACCTAATTGTTATTGGTAGTAGGGGTGAATAAAGTGCAATTTGCCAATATTCCTTTCACATCTGCCCTACACATAGGAATTCTCACTTAGTCTGGAATTTGTTATATTCCAGATTTTCAGTTTCATAGAATCATAGAATCATTATGGTTGGAAGAGACCTCAAAGATCAAGTCCAACTGTATACCCAATGCCACCATGCCTGCTAAACCCACTAAACCATGTCTTGAAGCGCGACATCTAAACGTTTCTGAACACCACCAGGGATGGCGAGTCCACCACCTCCCTG